CCCATCTACCCGATCGGCCCGCCCAACATCGGCAACGCCACACGCATCGCAGTTCAGAACCTGACGGCCCGCCTTAAGGGCGAAGATAAGAACTTCAAGGAGGGCAACCCGGACTTTTTGCAGTACTTTATCGAATCCAAGTCAACCCACCCTGACCTTGTTAATGACGGCAGCGTCATCGGTTATCTTCTCCTCAACCGTAAGGGATCCCTCACATCTCCTTTTTCGAACAACATCACTAACAAGAAAATCCCGAAAGTCATCGCCGGTGCCGACACAACGGCTATCACAATGCGGGCGCTCTTCTACCACGTGTTACGGAATCCGCGCGTTTTGTCGCGCCTACAGTCGGACGTGCGCGCCGTCTTCGCGCCCTTCGAGCCTGCGTCGCACGCCAAGGCGCGCGCCATTCCCTACCTCGAGGCCGTTATCAAGGAGACGCTGCGGTACCACCCGGCCGTGTCCATGATCATGGAACGCATCGTGCCAGAAGGGGGACTGACGCTGCCCGACGGCAGCGTTGTGCCCGGCGGCCAGATGGTCGGCATGAATCCGTATATCGTCGGCCGCAACAAGGGCGTGTTCGGCGACGATGCCGAGGGCTTCAATCCAGACCGCTGGCTGCAGCGCGATGGCGAAGGAGACGAAGAGTACGCCCAGCGCATGCAGCGCTGGAACCAGAGCATCCTCGCGTTTGGCGGCGGCTACCGCATCTGCCTGGGCCGCAACATCAGTATGATGGAGGTTTACAAAGTCGTGCCCACCCTCCTTGCCACGTTCGACATTGCGCTGAGAAACCCCAATGAAGTCTGGTGGACCTGCTCGAGGTGGTTCTACCGCACAAAGGGCGTTATTTGCAAGGTCAAGCCGAGGAGCTCATGAAAAGGAAGCTGTCGGAGGTTTGATATGTGGTTTGAAAATGGATATTACTAGGCGCCGACATATTGAGCCTGTAGTCATTACTTTGCAGGTGATATCAAGAACAAATCTGGTTGAATATTCTTAATCATCAGAACGTCCAATGCAAGAGAATCACAGCCATCAATTCCGTGACAAAATCGTACTCACCATATACTGCGTAGAGGACGTTAGGCCATTTAATCAAATACAAACCATTACCGAGTGTGCTTGTAGGTGAGAGAGTGATGTTCGAAAACATGTTAGTTAACGTTAGTTAACAGAAACAGGAACCAAGTTTCTTACAAGACAAAGAGCTTGACAGACATAATTTCTGCGTTTCGGGCTTCAACAGTCCCGGAACTGGGTAGCCCCAGCCCTAATCTCTAGGTTCCCTACCTTTTATAACCTCGAACTTGGCTCGTGCCGAAAGTAGAACAACGCAGCCAAGTGAACGGCGGGCTTGCCCACGTCTCCTATTCAGGTCAATTGGCAGAATCAGCAAAACCTTTACCGTAAGTTAGTAGGATTCGTCAATTTGATTACATACGTAGTATTAGCATGCAATCTTCAACGTGATGTGACCCGCATTATATGCCAAAGCTTGCACCGTTTTGTCAAGTCCATCCAGGCAAATGCTATGTGGCATAACTAGTAGAGCACGGAATCTTCAAATTCCTCAATACATAAACCTTCTACATACCAAGGCGTTGCGACAGTCTAGCGCACTTTCTTTGAAGAACATCGGCGAAGCATCGACGTCATATCTCGTGAAGAAGACCAGCAATTGCACTTGTTGACTTTCGGTATCACCCACACTTGAAATTGCCCCATCCACGCCGAATCGAATCAGCGCTTGCGTTCCGCCTTCGAGCCGCTGATATGTCGGCGCTTGAATGAATGGCCGACCAATAGCAGCACCCATCGGGCCCTGGACAGGGGTTTGCAAAGCAACTGGCCAGTCAACTCCACTACACCAAGAACAAATGGCGACGCAAAGAACATGCGCCGTCGACAAATGTTTACGCGGGCTAATCTCGACTCTTTCTGTGCCCGACCTGCTGACGGGTGGCGCCTGTCCTTCCATTTCCGCGAGCCCCGGTCCCATCAATCAACGGTCTTTTCGGTCCCACGCATAATAATGCATCATCCAGCATCTGGCTGGACTGGTCGATCTGATCCACAGACATGGTTCCAGATGGGACTCGTGGTGTTTGTGCGGGAATCCCCGCGTTTTAACCACGTCTTCACTCCTTTCTCTCCTATTTTGATTCCTACATGAGGTTTATACTGAAGCTTTTTCAAAACCAATTGCGAATCAAGTGCCGCGGCAATTCGGTTGGAGCAGCATCTAAACGTGTCATCTTTTACAATTGCTCTCCGAGCCCAGATTGCACACATGGCCACCGACACTTCACCATTGATTTGGAGACCTTGAACCACTTCAAGGACGCGACTCATCATAACCGCGGACTACGATGACCCCTCCAGATTGTCCAAAGCCGAACGCTCACGTCCTCCATCGCCAACCAAAATTCTGTCCTCTGGGAAAACAGTGGGCAATAGAAGAGAACGTCGATGCGGTTTTGGGAATAACTCAAACTCAGAACCCAGGGAAACAGCTTCGGCACTCGTGGACGCCCAAGAGGGATAAAGGTTGGCCGGGGCGTGCTCAGTGGCCTTCCGCACCAAGAGGTCCCACGTTGGCTACCTCCGATGATAGTTGGTTTACAATCCAGTTCAATCCCGCTGGTGCCAAAGAAGCGGGAAGCACACTCTACGACGAGTCGGCAATGAATAATGTTACTATCCCGAAAGCAGTGACCGGGTCTCACCATGACGTATCAAGGAGGGCCGCGACCGCGTCGTCCGAAAATTTAGGTGTGGCGAAGTCTCTCGGAGTCTCGCCCCTTACACCTCACCGGCCCGATTCCTGGGCACAAGCAAGATCAGCTGCACCTGGCCGTCAGAGTTTCGAATGGGAAACAGAGACTCTGCTAGAATCAAACGTTGCCTGTCTAGATATCATGATATCGTACCCCTGCCCGTTCAGGAAACGGAACCCGGCGAGATTCAACATTCGCGATCGTGAGGAATGTGCGCGAGCTCCCTTCGATTCGGTTCAGTCGTTGAAGTGAGTATGAACAATTTGCCATTGTTGACGAAGCCGCTAATGGGTATGTATTCAGACAGCACGTCTTGGATCATCACCAGAGAAAGACCCCTCGCCATCAATGTCGGCGGTGTAAGGATCACTTCGGTACTGAAACCGCGCTCGAAGAACATCTGCTGTTACCCAGGGATCGGATATGTGAAGTGAAAGATGGCCCTCCCGTCGACTATGAAGATGGGATGACTGAGGAAGTAGTGAGAATACTATCACGAGGAAATCCAGGCGATTATGATGGAGGGCCATGGACGTGGGAGGTAATGTGGCGTCTCCTATTTCCAGAAGACTTGGAAGTGCCCGACTCTGGTACGTAATTCAAGCCAGTCCACTGGTGCGGCAACACAGACTCACAATTCACAGACTACCAACCAGTGACTGAGCTTGCCGAGCTAGAGCAGGCCTTCGATGAGGGCCAAGGAGCTCTGAAACAAGACCTCCGAGAAAAGCTCGAGCTGCTGCTTCCCAAGCCTGTTGACCCCGATTACCTCAGCTTCCTCGCCGGCCAGCTCGAACTTGTGTTTGAAACGTACCGGGTCAACGTCCTGAAAAGGTCTTCAGGTCGTTGTTATCCCGCAGGAAGCGGACTTACTCAGACTCAGTCAAACGAACAAGCAACCCCACCGAGGAGGCCGACGCGCAGGTCCAGACGAAGCACCATGCTTCAAGCATTACAACGAAATACACACGCCTCCCCCCTCCCAACAGGAACCCCATCAAACGGCAAGGGGGCCAAGCAGAACAATCATCATTTGAACCAGCAATTTCTCTTGCGCAAGTCGGAAACCTATCTCGGATGGAAGATGATGGAGGACAAGGAGCGCTCAAGGCCCGTGGCCGTTGCAACACACATCGAGTTACCCACCAATGAACTAGACATCACCGGCTCCTTCGCTGCCAACCCGCGCGACTCGCGTGACTCCGGAATCAGCATGCCCTGCGACACTTGCTCGACGGAGCCATGCCGCTGTGACGAGACGACCGCATCCAACAAGGATGGGCATCTCACTTGGTCCGAACAGCATCACCGCCATGACCAGCCGATGCTACAAGAGCAGCTACACGACCGAGGACAGATACCGAGGTACGAATTCACAGATGGCAGAAGCGCTACTACCCAACACCAACACGAGCATCCACAAATACATCACCGGGTTCCCGCCCGTCGGTCGCGGCTGGACATCCAGACCGACGAGCTGCACCTGAGCTACACAGGATCCGGTGACGGCAGCAGCGACCATGCTGATGGCACAATTGTCAACGCCGGGGGCAGGTTCTCGCCCGAGTCATTCAAGCAGAGGTTGTTGAGGCAGCAGCTGGCGGGTGCTTGATTGCCATGTCTATCTGTTTTAGGTATCTCACTAAGGTAATGTCGAGAAGAGGAAAAGGGGAAGGGGTAAAGCGGTGATGGAAAACGAGGGAAAGGGGAGAGAAAAGAGAAAAGGGACAGGGCGGAGGTGGCTAAGCACTTACCGATCGTCTGACTGGATTTGCATTGCGTTGCGCTACGTTTGGACATTGTGATCTCGGAGGGAAGAGCGTGCTATTGGTAAACTGTTCAGTCGTGAATCAGTATGGAGTCCTAGTAACTAAGTTGGTTTGGGAGCGTTTTATGACATCATTAGTAATGGAGAGAACTGGCAAGAACAACAGCGCTAATGGGATGAGAATCTGTTTGACACCAAGGATGGAGGTCGATGCCGCAAGGAGTTGAGCGGGTATCTGATTTGCAGAACGCCAATGCTGTTTTTCCTCAGTTTCAACGAACCAGCTAACGTGCCCAGTGTCGAGCACGCAGAGCAGATGCTCCATCGCCGCAATTCTTGTACTTCAATCCCGCTCGCTCCTAGGCCTGCCGGTTGACCCCGCCAAGACCTGCACCACCCCACACTCCCCATGAACCGTGTTCCCGAAACCCGAGTCCAGCAAATGGAAAGGGAGCTTGGCTCAGTTGGAAGAGCGCAGGTCTCATGCTGCTGTATGACCCGGTGCCCAAAGCACCAGGGATATCCTGAGGTCGTGAGTTCGAGCCTCACAGTTCCCATCTCTTTTGCCGCCTTACATACATTCTGTTGCCTTTTATTCTTCGGATGTTTCAACCTTTTTCATTTTGCTCACAAGTGCTTGGTTAAGATCGGAGTGGGTACAACAGGGGTGATTGATCGAATGCCATCCTACTTATGGTGAAAGTTGGTATTGATTTCAACCGAGCCATGTAACGACAACGCCCACCCAATACTGGTGTTCCTGCAGCGATTTGGTATTTCCTTGTGGTAGCAAACCTTACGCGTATTGGTGGACAGTTCTGGTCCCGTAAATATATTGCTCGAATTCGGATTGTCAATCCAAATCCCAGTCGCATTCCAAGTCGTGGTAGGAAACCCTTGGACTGTCTGCTACACTCTCGTTCTGTCCCAACCGAAGAGGTAACTCCTCGGTAGACGGTCCAAAGAGGGCAACGCCGCCGTCTTCGTCATCAGAATCTTCTGACCCTGAACCTTCTTCCACCTTCCCCCGATATACCTCGTTGGGGGTGCGAGCGCAGGCAGTGCCCCTTTGCGGCTCGATCGCCGTTCTCGACTTCTGTGTGACCGACACCAGCTCCTCTTGTGTATACTGTGTAGGCCGGCTAGATTCTGGAAAGGATTCCATTTCCCGAATTCGGATCGGCTGCCACTGCTGTTTTCCTCGTTCCTGTTTTAATTGCCTTATGCCCACGGCGAAGATCGCACGCATGACATGTCCAGCAAAGGCAAGTTGTTGCTGGGGCGAAAGAAGGCTGAAAGGGTGAACCTGCGACTGCGACTGCGACTTCGCTGGCTTTGGGGTGGCCAGTGCGTGAGGCACTGGGAACGGTTGGGATGTCTTAGGAGGCGAAGATTTCCCCTTTGCAGGTTTTCCGGGATGGTTCCTGTACAGGTGCCTCATGAGCTGATTGCGTGACTTGAACGTCTCCCCGCAAGTTCGGCACGTCGTCCGCCACTGGGTTTCCTCAGTGGTGCTCGTCCGCAGCTCATCCCCAGTCGCTTGTGAGGTCAGCCCCTGAGGCCGAAATTCAGGAATTGTCGGATCCATTATGAGAAAATGATTGTGGTGGTCGGCGACTGGCCTAGCAAAAGGGTCGTCGATTGGTGGCCTGCCGGTTGATATTCCGGCGCGCTCACTTCTGAAGAGGCGCTGGTTCTGCAGCTGGCGCCGGCAGGCTTCAAGTTGTGTGGATTGTCGCCGGCAGTCTTCTCGTTTCTCTTTCGACTGCAAAAATGGCATGCGTACCACGGATGTGAATGTGGAGCCGCTCAACCAATAATTACCAGTCTCATCCAAAATCTGGAGAAGGGTAGGGTCGGAGTGGGTCCTTGAACCCCAACCCCGGTTAAGGTACCCTGAGACTGCGTAATCGAACAATGGAGGAGCACTAATAAAGAGGACGCTGATGAAACTGAGGAGACGAGAAAAGGGGGGAGGAGAGATTATATGGAAGATGAAGAAAACGGAAGAGGTATACAAGATATGCAAAATATATCCGAAGTGGGAGGAAACGTGTTTTGTAACAGTGGTTACAAATACGGGACGTGAAGGCAGAGAGGAGTTTCGCCCCATGCTGTACATTTGTATTTTGCAACAAACATGGTTCTGCGCTCCTCTTACCTACTATTCTCAAGCTCTCATATCATATTCGGTCTTGTAAAACCTCTACATGCCATCATGCTGAGTATCTAGATGCAATGCATTGACTTTGAATCCGCTCTTGAAAACGCCGATGTACTTCTTTCCCCCCTCTACACGCAGCTGTTGTGTCCGTTCCGTCCAGTTCATAGTCATCGTTTCTTAAATATCATATCAAAACATGCCGGGCCGGCCACGACCTGCGCCCATATCGCCTCTAACTAACCTGCGCGGCTTTCGGTAGCGAACGCGGCGTCTCCTCTGCAGGCTGATGCTCGCGGGATCGGGGCACTTGTTACTGTGGCGCTGTTCTCTGTTGGGTGGCATCACCTGTGCGAGCATTTGGCACTTCAGCTTACACCACTTCAAAATGATTTGACGACGGGGATGCCGGCCGCTGCTCGTTAAGAGGTGAACCAGTGGCTGCGGATTGGGGCGTTTGTGATGCCGTTTCCTTTTCCGTAACTTCATCTGTCTGAACATTTGGTACTCCCTCTGGTCCCAGTCGATCGATTTGGTTTGATGGCGGCCGCCGCTCAGTAGGAAGTGATCTTGTAGCTACGAGATGGGACGCTTCTTGGTTCAGAGTCTCTCGTTGCGCCGACCCTTCACCGGCCGGGATGGCAAGCCCTCTGTCCGGCCATAATCCATCCGACCGGTGTATTGGTGGTCTTGTCTCGATAATTGGAGGTGCGGTTGGTGACTCTGGAGCGTCATTTGAGTCGTCGTCCACCGAGAGGACAATTGCCGGTGAGTTGGGTCCCTCATGCAAGGTGACGACAGTTCCTTGTGACTTGGGATGCTCCAGCTCAGCCGAGGGTCGTGACGGAAAGATAGACTCAGACGTAGTCTCGGGGCTGTGGGTGGTTGGAAGTCCAAGCATCAATGGCCCAGGCCCAGTTGTGGATCTTCGCGCCGGTGGCTGGGGAGAGTGCGCTCGAGAGCCGATGGAGCTGGACCTCGAAATGCTCCCACTAAAGCTGTTCGCTCTTGAACGCCGGCCCCGAGGGGCGGCTAGGCAGTCTTCGGGATCGACACTAGGCTCTCCCCATTGTCGCTTTATCTGTGGTAGCCTTTCATGTCGAAATTGCTCTCCCGGGATTTCGGGGAACCCGGTCACTTTGCCCCGCTTAAAGGCAGCTTCATCGTCAAAGCGTTCTGGTGAGACTCTTTCTAGAGCCGTTACCATCCTGACTAGAGCCCCTGTAACCCCGCGTATGTTCGATCCCGCAGAAGTGTGAGAGTCTACTTGATAAATACCAAGCCCATTGTCTGCGTCGTCGGCGTTCGGGAAAGTTTCGGTACGGTATGGCGAGAGCATATGTGTAGGCTCTGTGTCATGCCTAGAGGCTCGCGGACCGGTGTCGGGTATTCTGGTTGGAACGTGGTGTGGTGACGCGGTTTCCGGACGATCGCTAAGCGAGTTGGGCCGACTACTGCAGTTTGTATGATCACAAGTGCAGCGGTAGTGGCTCAACGGGTCCTCAATCGATTCCTCCTCGGCTTTCTCAAGATATTTCGCCAACAACATGTACAAGGATCCAATGGCAGCAAAAACGGATGCCACTATACTGGACCACTGGCCAATGTTCTCAAAAGGTTCGATCCGAAAATGTAACGGGGGACTCCAGAAATTAAGTTCGCCGACGATGATGAGCGCTAGCACTGCACCGCCAAACTTGTCCAGAAAGTCAGTTTCAGCACTCACTTTCTCGGGAAGACCCGGTACATACCACTGGGAGTTCAACAACACTGAGGAGTCGCCTGATGACCTCATTCACACTCTTCATACCTTTTTCAGTGGCCCCATTGGTTCCTTCGATGACCTCGTCGGCATCATGCGCCCCGAATTGCTTGTTCCAATTGAGTTTCGCTATCTTGTTCCATATCGACACCATGGAGAGGATACCCGGCACGCAGGAAGCGGCAGCAACAAGTGTCGCAGCTCCGAAAGTGAGATGATATGGTCGAGGGACCAGGTTGACGTCGTCGGCCGTCCCCGTTCTCATGGGGTTGTAGGGCTTTCCCTCCTCACAAATCAAGCCGCAGGTTATGTTGATTTGTTTGTCGGGAAAACCGTCGATAGGGCCGATTGGTTGTCCTTCACCGTTGCGGCAAACCTTTGACTCGGTACGGAAGAACTCGACGGTAAGGGCCAGCAACCCTGTTGAAACAAGGTTTAGCTTGGAAACGGTCTTGCGCGGTAGCGACACGGACACTCACCAGCGACGACCAGAACAGTCCATACGAACAAAACATTGCGTCCTGGATTATTGAAATACGTCTTAGATAGTCTGACGGTAGCGGGTGCGGTCAGAATGCCAATGGAGCATAGTTGAAGGGCGCCATAGATGTCCATATCAACGGCCTCTGAAACTTTGTTAGACCATGGATAACGAGAGAACGAGAGGGGTGCATGGCAGACCATCGCTATGGAACGACGCAAGTACAATGGCATGGATGGCTGCGGTAGCCGGAAGAATCAGTGCAGCTGCCAAACAAGCGTTTCGAAGCCATTCTGTCTTCCGGGCGAGAACACAAGCCGCCACTAACACGTAATATCTGAGGCCTTGGTCAGCGCCCTGTCCCTGGCTGATAGCATCGCGGAACACTCCACAGGTAAACGAACAATATCCGAGAACCACCCCCGTATTGCCCACTTAAAGGCCAGCTACACACAACCTGGAGAGGCTCAGGTTCGGATGCGGTGTCGACGGCCCGGCCGACAAGAACATCCAGGGAGCTGAGAGGATGAAGGACCGGCATTCGGGTTAGGGTTCACTTGCGGTACCCGTCGTGCTCGGGCAGTTGGTGAAAAGCAGTAATCCGGTCAGTACTCGGCAAAGACACGGGAGAAGGGGGATAACTGGGCTTGCGGACTCAAGCACGGCATTTGGCTGACGAATCCGCAATGCTGGAGGGAGCACATCGGTCGAACTACCCTAGGGTGAAGAAAAGTGGAAGAAAGAAAGAAATGCGGGGAGGAGAGAATGATGGAAAAAGATGAAACGGACTGGCATCAAAGGAAAAAGCAGGGCGAGAGTCCTACGGGAATGCCAGCAGGGGCATCGGTGTGAAACGAGTCCAAAAGAGTATGTGTACACGTGCAATCTTCTTATTACTTCAATTACAGCCTTGTCTTCGGTTTCTATGACAGACTTGGTCTCATCTTCTTTTGGAACAGATTGGAAGAATACTGAGGGATGTGGAACAGACCGGCACCGCGGCGACGCCCGTGATCGACACGGCAAGCCCTGGGGTTGGAACAAGAGCCTCATTCAGCGGGCCTGCTGACGGACTTGCGCACGCCAAGCTCGAGAAGCCCAGTCTGACAGGCCGGATTGGGCGAATCGGTGAGCGCAAACGGACTCGGCGGGG